TACGGGTTTAAACTTCATTTACATGCCATTCACTCCACAACCCGTACCAGTCTTAGTTGGTTTATGTTTTATCCAATAATTTGTCAAATTTTAGACCAGTCTAATTTTATCAGAAGCGTTAGACTGGAGTCCCCAGAGGAAGAGGAAAGTAGACAGGTCAAGGAAATCCTGGAGAAGGACAATAGAAGAGGCAAGGGTTGCCGGGCTTATAAAGAGGGCTGGCCAAAACAGAGTTCGGTGGAGACGTGTGACGTCAAACGAATATAATATTACTCAATCACTGTCATCAACGGATCCGAACGTTCTAGAATATATCTTTAGCCTTTTACATGAAGGCGTCGGTGGTGTAAAGGTTAAATTTTACAAAAACTTCTTTTTAAAAGCTGAGTAGTAAGTTTCAAAAATTATTTTTTAAAATAAAAAGTGGCTCTCACTTCCTGGACTCCACACTACCATTTAGCTCTGATCAATGGCAACACTTTGTCACTGTATTATACGCATCCTTCTTTCCACACCCTCCCCCCACCCTCATTGTGATCTGGTTTATGAATGACCTTACACAGATCAATATTCAGATTCCTCAAATTTATTGTTTTAGTGGTAATAGTTGACTTCTAGAATATTGAAATTTTAAGTTGAAGTTTCTCCCTCCCACCCCCACCCCCCTAGGACTGTGACTATAAATGGGTCAATATTCGAATCAATCACTGTCAAATTATTCACTATCAAATTTGAATGAAATTGATTACTAAATGGTATCGGCGTCGGTGGTGTAAAGGTCAGCATGGTTGCCTTCCAAGCAGTCGATCCGGGTTCGATTCCCGGCTGACGCAATTATATTTTTAATTTTTTACTTTATTTCTTGTTTTAGAAAAGTTGTTTTTTTTTTTTAAATCGTAATAGAAATTGATTAGAACACTTTATTTTGACAGAGTTTAGGCAGGATTTTGGAAAACATACCGATGTATTAAGAAAAATTCAACTGTAAATTTGAGGGCGTTTGAATGCTGAAGTGTGACGTCATTTTTTGTGACGGAGGCAGGTAAAAATCGTCCAAAAAGCTTAATGTCATTTATAGATGACATCTAAAAGAAATAAAAAATTTTATTATTCAATCACTATTAACAAATGATTATATGTCGATGTCGGTGGTGTAAAGGTCAGCATGGTTGCCTTCCAAGCAGTCGATCCGGGTTCGATTCCCGGCTGCCGCATGCATGTTTATTTTTAAAACAACGTCTTGTGATAAATCAAGTTTAAACTGTAACTATAAACCATTCCCCCCCTATTTGTTAAACCTTGGAGTTACACTTCACAAGTCTTGTGAGTGAAATAGACCAGTGAAGAATATGATTAGCCTTTCTAGAACTTGATGTTGAAAACTGAACAGTGAACAATGATTCTGTAATAAAAACAGTTTCTGATTTAATTTTTGTTATTGTTTATTAAGTACATAAAACATCGCGTACAAAACAACTCAAATCATGTTTAAAAAAACGTGTAATACTGTTTAGTTTAGAAAAATTAATATCTACGTACATCATTAACTATAACAAATGCAGTTTTCTGAACAAGTTTATCTTTTGCAATGTAGAGCAGTGGTTCTTAACCTGATTTCGATTGAACCCCTGGGGTTCGATGAGTGAGTCTCAGGGGTTCTGCGGAGGTCGAGACACACAACCGACTCACGATTGTAATGTGTCAATGCTGATCATAGAACTCTTATAAAGTGTTCGGTGAATGCATGAAACAGGTGGGGTTCGGTACCTCCAAAAAGGTTAAGAACCACTGTTCTAGAATGTGTATATTGATTAGAAGTTGATTAAATGTACTCAGGAGGTTATTGATGTAGGGTAATGATAGCTGTTTACTTTTATGCCACTTCGTTCAACATTTTTGTAATGTTTTGTATTTATGTCAAGTAAAAATAATACAAACTCGAGACTGTTGGGCTAGCAGTCAAGCGCTCTACCACCAAACCACGCCATCCCATTACATCAAGTGTAGCCATGTCCCTGATCATCATCATCATCATTAACAACATCAGCATCAGCATCATCATTCCTTTGGCCCCTTGTGGAAAATAGGGACACATTTACATCTCTCCATTTCACTCGGTTTTAGGGCGATTCCTCCAAGTTGGGTCCATGATATTTCGACTACTTCTGCTTCACTTACAACTGATCTTTTCGAACTACTCCATTAGTTTATACAAAGCTACTGTAATAAAACCTTCAACGGATACAACACATTTCTGTACAAATACATCTCACAACATGTGTGAGTCACTACATTCCTTAATAACATTGTATTTTATAACATTTAAATTAGCTCGCTCACTCTCCAAAAACAAATCTAACCCTTTCACCAATACCTAAACAGATTTTATATAATTATATACGCACTATGAGAAACACGTAACTGGCTTTGTAAACATTTTGACATATTATATAGGTCTATATCAGAATAAAAAAATACAGATGATCTGTAAACCAAAGCAACATTCCACCTTTACAAATCTTAAACTTAAAATCTCAAGAGTTATATATAAAATAAATAAATACATTTTCTAAAAGTAATTTCTAGGATTTCACAACTATAACATACAATGCATTATTTCTAAAAAAAAACAACATTATTTGGATTTCAGTTTTAAAATTTCAGCTACAAAAAAGCATTATTTATTTTATACATTTCTCTGATTTCAGTTTCAAAACTAGATCTATATCCTTCTCGGCATTATTCTTAATAATTCATTTCTGACAAAGGTCACAAGCAAAAATTTCACCACTATTTTCCTGAACGCAATTTCACGATACATACATTTTATAAAAAATTAACTGCGCCAAATAACACAGAACATTCAACATCAAGTGTCTCTGTGAAGTTTGGTGTAACAAATTTTGTGTGCAATGTATATAATTATTGAGACAATTTTATTTTGAATAAAAATCACAACTTGAGATTTTAAAAGACCGTTTTTGTAATTGAGAAAAATATATCGTCAGTCATTCACAATGGATGTTTTCATTTAACGTTGCTAGTAAACTTGAAAAATCTGAATAAAAGCTTTCTGTTTATTTCAGAGTTTAAACAAACAAAAAAATATTTATGTTTATTATTTAGGTGCTTATTTATTATTTTATTGCAAATAAATAAAAATAATCGATGTACATTATAAATCAAATGTTTATTGTAAGTTTATACATTAATTTATTTAATAAAAGCTCCTCTGAACATATCTTTAAAGGTAATTGCAAAGTAGTGAGGATATGAGAAATATGACAGTGACGTTAGATTTGTTTTAACAACCTGTTGCATTACAATATTGTTGTAACCGAGTAAAATGTAAAAAACATAAAACAACGAAAGGTAACCAAAAAAAATCAACATTGCATTGCAAAAAGAAATAACAGACCGAAATTTGTAAAAACAAAAATGTAAATCAACATGATGTAAGGCAAGTTTAATTCATCAAATCAAAATGGAAAAAAAAAATTAACTTAAAAACAATTGTGCATTACCATGGTAATTTAGCTGAGCAAAAAGATGACATAAAATAACATAACATGATTATTACAAAAATTCTTGTAACAGAGATCGATGCAATGTTATCGTTAATAACATGTACAAAGGAATTTTACGCACAAAGAGGTCATTGTGTATGGGTGACACATGTTGGGCGCAAAAATAATTAGCAATTAAGCTTTAAAATGATAAGCTCTTTGTTAAAATAATTGTTAAAATAAAATAAAAATGATGGAATATTGATCTTTATGAACACAAATTATATTTCTAATAAAACAAGGCTTTGTACATGAAATGGCACTGTTGGTTTAGCCCTACGACTATAAGAGATATTATTCAACACCTAAAAACATTTTACATGCTGAAAACTGTAAAAAGACAGATTATTTTCTAGGTGGCAATTAGATATTTAAAAAGAAAGTATTTTTCAAAATAAAAATTAAAAGGCCAAAAAATTAGTTTGTTCTTTTCAAAGGGAGAAAATATATTTTAAATCGAAAATTGAAATTTTTAAAATTTCTGAACACCATGTAAAAATGAAAATATCTGATAAACACAGGAGAAACTGACACTAGCCTTTTCTACATAATGAACCAAAAGTTGTGGTATGGCTAACCCAAAAGTGCTCACATAATATCATCAGAATAAAGGCTCAATGTGTGAATGAGTTTACAAACCAACAAAATAACAAAGAATTATTTAAAATTTCTCAACAATTCAAATGCAAAGCTAAATTTTCTTACCGTTTAAATTCCTAAAAAATTCCATAAATTAAAAAATACCATTTAAATACTACAAAAAATTTTGTTTTACAATATTAAAAACTCATGAACTCACATGTCGTTGTAAATACTGTTTATCTTAAATAAGATTTATTTTTTATGAGGCCAAAAAGGAAAATTGTTAATTTTTTTCATCATAAATTGAATACCACCAACAACATTAAATTAATTAAAAAGGTATTAATACGTCAGTAATCTATACTTCATTTTAAAAAAAATAATGCATCAACACATTTTTAAAAAAAAGATAACTCTGTTCTTTCTTCATCACAACCAGACAACTCTTGTTGTTTATATTTGGTAGTTTAATTTATTTGGCATGAGAGAGGATCATTCACAAAATCCAAGTCATAATGTAATGTTCTGTCAACACTCACTATTAAACAGCATGTGCATAGAGACGCAGCTGTTGTTGAATGGGACTAATCAAACCTGGTACACAACTGCTGTATCTACTGTACGGTCTCATGGGGTAGCAACATAGGTGGTGGTGCAGCCAAATCTGGTGCATCATAAATAGTATAGACAGTGTGTGATTGTGTGTGTGTGGGGGGGGGGGGTGGATAAACTTGATAGTTTATCCCAACCTGTATGAATGTAGGTATGGCACAACCTATTCCACTGTGCAAAAATTATAAATGGTAACATGTATCAAAATCTATTCCATTCTGCACCAAATTGTATAACATTTAACATCTATTCAACTGGGGCACCAAATTGTGCAACTTATAAATTTTATTCAACTGAGCATCAAATTGTGCTACATTTAAAATCTATTTCATTCTGCACTAAATTGTGCAACATTTCAAATCTATTGCACTGGGCATCACATTGTGCAACAATCAAGGTTTATTTAACTTGGGCACCAAATTGTGCACCTATTTCACAACCTTAACTCTATTCTTGTCAGATATTTGTGTTAAAAATAAAAAGTATGTTAGTGTATTGCCCACCATGTTAGCACTGAAACATATCATCCTCATATAAAAACAGGAACATTCAGTCTTCATCAGGTATTGTTTTAACTGTGTTAAAGCTGAAGTGTGTAAAAAAAATACAATTGCACACATCAAATATTTAACGAGGTTACATATTGGTGTAAAAATTCATCTTAATGTAACAGTAAATTTACATAAATTCAACCAAATATATGAAAAACAAGATAACAAAAAATAATGAAATATTGAACTAAACTACATTGGATATAATACATTACTATTTTTATTTTGTTATATTTTTTTTGTATTTTAATTTGAAGACCTTATATAACTGTTAATGCTAAGTTGAGCATTTTATCTTTGAATGAAATAAATGGAAGGCATTAAAGTTAAACAAGATAACTATGGATGAAGTATCACAACAAGTGTTGCAACTTGAGCATTTTTAAAAAAAATGTACTGATTATCAAATCCTGTAGACACAACATAAAGAATGTTTTTTTTTTTCACTATACCTACATACCATATATTTTAGATCTATTGCTACTAAAGAGGTATTCTACCAACAAGATCTACTGCACTAATAATTCACAACCATCAAACTATTTTTCTTTAAGACTGAGGTGAATTACAGGTGAACACAGATATACAACAATCTAAAGGCGTCTACTATTGCACATTAATTAAAAAAAATTTTTTTATACAGAATATGTCGAATGTACGAAAGGTAGCTCAACCGGTCATTTCTCTGAGGTCAAGGTCACTGAACATCATGTAGCTGGTGAGCAGAGGGGGCAGCTGGAGGCGTGAGATCTTGCTGCTGACCGACAGGCCGCTGCCCAGAGTTTTGCGGATCCTGCGCCGGCAGAGCCGCAGCAGGCTCTGTGGCTTGAAGAGGGTCTCGCTCATTATCTCCGCCATGCTCAGGTCCTCCATCTGCAGCATGGCGTAGAAGATGTTCATGTTCCTCAAGATGGTCGCCCCTTCTTCAGCGTAGGCGGCAACCAGCCACTGTACCAAGGTGGGGTTTTCTTTGTGAACGGAGTGGATTATGGGAGAACATGGGCTGCAGTGCGAGGCGTACGATTCATTCTGTTTGCTGAAGTCGCTGTTGCTTTGCAGGAGGAGTTTGACTACGGGGAAGTTTGCGTTGTCGACGGCGTACCATAAAGGGAGAGCATTCACATGGTCTACAGAGTTAGGGTTAGCCCCGCAGGCTAACATCTTTTTAATTATAAACCTGTCGAGATCCCTCGACACGGCTTCGTTGAGCGCGGTGAATTTTTCTCCCGGTAATTTCTCTAACGAGCAACCGTGGTTGAGGAAATATAAAATTGTCGGCAGACGGAAGTTGCGAACGGCGCTGATGAACGGAGTGACGCCTTCGGTGTTGCGGATATCCACGCTGATGCCGTGTTTGATGAGCAGCTCACAGCACTCGATGCTCCCCCCCTCCGCGGCCAGGTGGAGGATGGACAGGTCTTGCGAGGTCCAGTGATGAAGGTCAGCCTTGTTGTTGATGAACAGCCTCAAAGTCTAAAACAACAAGATTGGAAAAGTTTATTAATTATAACAAAATCTAAATTAATTTACTTCTTTGTAAAAAAAATTTTTAACTTTGTTTTTAAAAACAGAATCAATCAGCAGATATAGATTTTTTTTATAATGGAATTAGTGTTACACAACAGAGTTTAGAACTAAATTTCAGTATTATAAGGCAGAACCAGGGAGTTGCTTAATTTATAAAATAGAAAATTATCACTTGTTGCCGATGTTCTGTACTTAACTTAGACATGCTTGAAAAAAATATTAAATACACATAACCATGTGTGAAGAGTTGTTAAATATTTAACAAAAATATTTCCTAGCTCCTCCCAATTGGGTATAAGAGCAAGTACATTGAAATTTGGCTTTACACCAGCTATAAATTTATCTGACTAGTGATATTTTCCAATAAAAAAAACAAAAACCAAAAGTCATTCATATGACAGTCAAAATAATGAAATGAAAATTCTTTAAATAATTATTTCTAACTAATTAACATCAGCTTTTACACATGAAATAAAAATACAACCAGTATTAATCAGCATCATACATAAGATCAAATGACCAGACAATATACCTCAACATTGCCTTTGGCCGCAGCTAACATGGCTGCTGAACATCTCTCAGAGTCCAAGCTCTCCATGAAAGCCCCGGAGTCAATCAGCTTCTTACAGCACTCAGTGTATCCACGCTCAGCTGCGTAGTGCAGGGCTGTGCGCCGGTTGTAAGCAGCCATGTTGACGTTGCACCTGGCGTCAAGCATCAGCTGGAGGACCTTGACCCGCCCCTCCAGGGTGGCCATCATCAGGGGGGTGAAGCGCCGGATGTCCTGGGCATCTATTTCAGCTCCATGGTGCAACAACACCTGACAGAGAACACACTTGACGATAAATCTGACACACTTGATGATAAATCTGACACACCTGACAATAAATCTGACACACCTAATGATAAATCTGACATACTTGATGATAAATCTGACACACCGGATGATAAATCTGACAAACTTGATAAATCTGACACACTTGACAATAAATCTGACACACCTAATGATAAATCTGACACACTTGACAATAAATCTGACACACTTGATGATAAATCTGACACACCTGACAATAAATCTGACACACCTAATGATAAATCTGACATACTTGATGATAAATCTGACACACCGGATGATAAATCTGACAAACTTGATAAATCTGACACACTTGACAATAAATCTGACACACCTAATGATAAATCTGACACACTTGACAATAAATCTGACACACCTAATGATAAATCTGACATACTTGATGATAAATCTGACACACCGGATGATAAATCTGACACACTTGATGATAAATCTGACACACCGGATGATAAATCTGACACTTGATGATAAATCTGACACACTTGACAATAAATCTGACACACTTGACAATAAATCTGACACACTTGACAATAAATCTGACACACTTGACAATAAATCTGACACACTTGACAATAAATGACACACCTGATGATAAATCTGACACACTTGATGATAAATCTGACACACCTGATGATAAATCTGACACACTTGATGATAAATCTGACACACTTGATGATAAATCTGACACACTTGATGATAAATCTGACACACTTGATGATAAATCTGACACACTTGATGATAAATCTGACACACTTGATGATAAATCAAACACACTTGATAAATAAACAATAAATCTAACATGCTTAATATGGGCATCAGAGGACTTTAGTCTTGTAAAAAATAAAGGGGACAGTATGGTTGGGAGGGTGAGTATATGCTTGCTAACCCAAAAGTCCTGAATTCAGACCCCATGGTCATTAGCTGGGGAAAGCAACCCTTCATGGGGAAAAAACTCCGAAAACAAACAACTGCTGCCTTAAAGATGATCATGAGTAAACTAAGGATATGAAAAAAAACCAGACTGAAGTCAAGAGTCAACAGAGCATAAAATGTTGACATGTAATATTTGTGTTGGAGGAAGTTCCCTTCAATATTAGAATTAAGAATACAAATCTAATTACCAATCTAAAATCATTGCTGAATTATGTCACATAACATGTTGAAATGCTATTAGCAAGGAAATGCAAAATCACAAATGAGGTGGGATTAACATGATGCATTAACCAACTAACAACATCACCAGACAGACACTAGATTGAAATCCCTAAGAAAAGAAGAAAGTAGGTAGGCCAAAACAAACTTGGGAAAGGCCAATGAAGCAGATGCAGCCGGAATGTTGTGAAGAAATCGCCAAAAGTGGAGTACAATGGAGAAGTGTGGTTGCGTCCATATAATCCACAAGGGATCTACAGGAATGATGATTATATAATACTAAACAACATTGGAGGAAATCCCCTTTAACACCCAGATTTACCTTGCAACATGCAGTCCAACCTTCCTTGGCAGCATAGTGCAGGGCGGTTGTCCCACTATGGCTGACCCGGTTGACATCAGCCCCTTGTGCCAGGAACAACAGAACAAGGTTAATGTGACCTTTCTCAGCTGCCCTGATCAAAGGGGTGTTACCAAAGGTGTCTTCATCTTCTAATCCAGCTGGCAAATAAAATTTGACACAGGTATGTACCTTCTAGACCAAAGTTTGTGGATGTAAAATCAACTCTTAAATGGCTAACAATTTTAAAAATGGATTTTTAAAAATTCTGATAATATATTTGTTTTTTGAGCTGTGCAAATCAAGTGTATTTTTCCCAAGTCAAGATCAGTCTCAAAAAGTAGATTCCAATTGACTGACCAATATGCTATTTTTGTCATATAAACATTAATCAGTGTATTGTTTTTTTTTTTATTCCCATTGATTGGTAACTACAGGATTTCTGGAAGATCTTCCAAATATACCTCTTGTTATAAGTACCATTAGCCATCATTCCCACAAACTACTATGGACCATCATTCCCACAACTACCATTGACCATCATTCCCACAACTACCATTGACCATCATTCCCACAACTACCATTAACCATCTTCCCACAACTACCATTGACCATCATTCACACATACTACCATTGACCATCTTCCCACAACTACCACTGACCATCATTTACACATACTACCATTAACCATCTTCCTACAACTACCATTGACCATCATTCCCACAACTACCATTAACCATCTTCCCACAACTACCATTGACCATCATTCACACATATTACCATTAACCATCTTCCCACAACTACTATTAACCATCATTCCCAGAACTACCATTAACCATCTTCCCAACACTACCATTGACCATCATTCCCATAAACTACCTTTTGCTGTGATGAGATATGAACAGATCTCATAGTGGCCTTGTTCCGTGGCCTCATGTAGAGCCGAGCACTCATGGTATCCCCTACGGTTGATGGAGGCGTGGTGGTCCAGCAAAAGCTTCACCACTGGCAGGTGACCATGCTCAGATGCTACAATCAAGGGTGTGTTGTCCTTTTCGTTCCGTATGTTGACGTTGGCCCCTGCCGCAATCAGCGTGCTACAGATTTCTATGTTCCCTATGAATAAATACTTATTTTTTTTTAAAAGGTAAGATTTGAAATAACATAATAAAATGGTTTAACTAATACAAAACCATTGGGTACAGTCCTAACATTACGCATCAACATAAAAAAAAAAATTTTAAATAATCAAGAAATTGGCAACTTTTTTTGAGTAAGAACAATACATTTACATTTTTAAATCAGTTCCAATAAAGAAATATTAACAGAATTTCTTTCATCCAATTGCTAGACTGCTAATACAAAAGTCTCAAGTTCAACCAAGGTTCAAGTCAGTAGAACATCTCTAAGTCCAACCAGCTCTGATAGGTAGACATCAGTGAAAGGAGTCGGCTGGGCATAGTGCTGACCACACTATCTTTTTATATGCTGAGGTAAAAAAAAACAGGTGAACTTGCCCCATGAACCGTCACTTTCAAAACTTATTTTTACTTCATATATTTTCAAAGTTTATGTAATATTAAAACAACCAAACCTATTTCCCATCTTTTTCCTGTAATACATTTTTAAACTAATGAAAAGAGCTGATTTATACATTTAAAGAGTTACAGGTGTACCTGCTGTGCTAGTCTGAATAAAAAAATCAGTGAGGGTCTCCATAAACATGCCATTAGTTGTACACATAAACAGTAATTTCTAATAATTATTGGATAAACATTATCCAGTTTTAATTTTCTAAGAATAATTAATTATGAATTTACAAATAACAATATCCCAAAATGTTAGGAAAATAAAAAAGCTATTTTTTTCTCCAATGAAAATGAAGTAGCAAGAAAATGAATAATAAAAAAAAAAACTTCTTTCCTGTAGAGCCAGAGTTGCTAAATTATATTTTAATATTTTGTCCAAAATAACCATAACTTAAAAATATAAACCTGATGTTTCTGTACTAGTGCATCAATCAAACTGTTTATCCATGCATAGGCTCATGGCCTATATTCTCAATATCAGCCATTGGCTTATAAGCCAATCTTTACCTGATTATAATACAATACTTACTAGGCTTCACAGAAAAGTAATCATTGTAATTCACAAGTTTAGTGCAGTGGTTCTTAACCTTTTGAAAGGTACAACACATCACCATTCATATGCACATTTACTGAGCCCTTCTTAATAGTTCTATTGTCCAAAATGACAATATCTAATTGTGAACTATATGACATCGGGTGTGTGTCTTGAACTACGTCGAACCCCTGAGACTGACTCACCAAACCCTGATCGAACCCAGGTTAAGAACCACTGTTTTAGTTATAACTGTGCAGAAGAACTGCTAAGGGAGAGTGGATACCTTGTTTAGCAGCTAAGTGAAGCGCTGAGTTTCCGTCAAGGCCACCTAATATATCTATCTGGCATTCCCAGGTTACTAAGAGTTTGGTTATTTCCAAGCTACTGGCTGACACAGCATGCATCAAAGGTGTCAATCTATTACTGTCTGCACAATCTGAGGGTCCAGACAAAGAAACAAGGAAGAGCAATCTAAAAGTCTACAGTGAAGATGACAACAAATGGGAAAGTTATGATTTTTTTTTATAATGGAATGTTTTACAACATGGAGCAATCAACACATTACTAGGTAGTTCAAGTAATTTTTTTTACAAAGTTTAGATTAAATAGATCGAGTGTGTAAGACAGTCAGATGATTATAATAAAAAAATGGTGTATATAAAAATTCAAGTTAGTGTACTTATTTATCTTACTATAAAATGGGTTGTTATGTAAATTTTAATATGAATACGTTCAATATTTTTTGGCAAAATAATAAGTCAAAATGTAATTTTTTTACACACATTTGTATATTGAATACCATAAGACATAATGCCTATGTTGGTGAAACTAAAGTACAACATATACTAGCAAATTAAGCACTATTTTAATATAACCATTTTGACTCAGAGAATTCACACTCAATATAACCCTTTGAACCCTGCTGAAGAAATCCACTAATTAAAACTTCAGTAGGGGTCAGTGTGGTCGATTCGGTAAAGCTCATGGTTGCTAAACCGAAAAGTCTCGAGTTCAAACCCTCGGGCAGACTCATTAGCTGGGGACAGCTACTCTTCTTCAAATATCAAACAACTGCTACCTTGTAGTTTGTTTTTGGTTGGACAAAGGCTATGGAAGCAAATCCAAAAAGCAAAGCAGGTTGAAATCAGAGTCAATGACCTCAACAGTGCATAACCAGTTGACATGTATACTTAATTGTGTTGGATGGGATCCCTTCCAACACTAAAATTAAGAACAAAGAAGAACTAGAAGAAACCTCAATCATACAGATATTTTGGTCATGCTGATATTGTCTGACCAAATCCTGATGGCAGCATGAGAGGGTTGCAAAGATACAGCTGTACATTACATGTATGATTTATTTTTAAAACTAATAATGTGGGCATGTCAACATTCAGTATGCACACCCTCCACATATCACAGATAACTCAGCTCTTACACATCTCCTCCATCCTGCTCAATACAGTTCTTGATTTGGTGTTTATCAATACCTGTCAATGCTATGTCTTAATTTTTACAAGTTCAAAATAAACGTCCATAAGTTTGCAAAGGTAAAATGTTTTTAAAGTTTACAGAAAATCAGGTTTTGTAAGCTGAGCACTACAGGTCACCAGAATAGATTTAGTTAGTGAGATACCACTGTATGCCTCCATTTCTAATCAAAACATTCTACTTAAAACTATAAGAATACCCATAAAATTAAAAGCTACTGACGAAAATGCTTTAACAATCAGGGTTCAAAGGGTTATTGTACTTGTGTTAATGAAAAGCAGAAAATAACATATTTTATTAGTAACAAAAAATTATTATAGGATTCTTTTACCCTTGTCCACACCAAAATTAAGTAAAATGGCAACACAATTTTCTGCACAGTAGTCACATGATTTACAAAGGAGAGCCTCTAAGATGTCCTGATTCAATCCTTGATTGATGTGGTTGTTTAGAAACAGGTAATCATCACGTTTAATTGCCTCCTCCATTTTTTCTTATCTATTTAAATATATGTAAAAACCATATTTTTTAATCAGTCAACTTTTGCATTTTCATTCAGTTACTTTGTATAGGCCCTAGGCCTATTTATTTTTAGGTTTTCTATTTTTAACACTAACTAGATCTAATAACTATAGTAATTGCAACACTTAGGCCTAGATGTTTTTTGTACAAAACCCTTACTTTTTTTTACTAATCTAATTTCTGGGCATAAGCCCCTCTCCACATTTTATGGCAAAATTCCAACCCTCCCCCCCCCCCCCCAGAGTGCAACCAAATTTTATCTAAAGAACTTAAAGCGTATTTTTAAAAACTATGCTACCGCTGAATCCAGAAAAACCTATATACTATTATTAATTATAATAATATTGAGAAGGATTTAACCAACCAGTACCTGTGCCCAAAAAAAATATAATTTGTCAATTTTCGTCCAGGATAATCTTGTCCAGTAGCCTACCACTACCTAGTTTGCAATTTTTTAAATTTTTTTTTTAAAATTTGGCTCTTAATAAAATAATAATATTATAATTACAGTTAAATAAAGTCTAAGTCAGCATCAACAACATTACATTGCGTGCATTCTTAAACCGAAATAAAACGCCGAAGAGCCGTCGAAGGCCGTAGGCAGAGAAACTACTGAGTCGTGACTACTCTTCAAACTTCAAACTAGATTCAAGATTCCAGATCTAAGATCTAGATCTAGAAATCTAGATCAAATCGGGAAGCTGCATAATCTCAATGGATGCATTTAAAAGAATGTATATGGTTCTAAATTAAATGAGTAAAACAATTTTGTTCAGTCCTAGATCTAGACAACAGACATAGATATCTAAATTTCTAAATCTAGGCCCATTCTTTCTGTGTTGTTGTTGTTGACAAACACTAAAATATGCGAAGTTTAATTTTAGATCCAACTTCCGCAAACAGCATAGTCATATCAAAATGTAGAAATTTGCCAAAAAATATAACTATTTATTATCAAAGCAATGCATATTTGATTTAGCAATGAATTTTACTAACATCAATACAATACATGGTGGCCTAAACATAATAGATCTAGATCTAGATGTTTTAAAGATAATTACTGTTTATTCGGATAGGTTAATGATAAAAAGCCATGAATATTACAATGATGTTACTGTAAATTAAATGATGGCAGATTTGCAAATGGCAGTGCGTTTTAAATACTCGAAATTGAAAAATAAATAAAACATTTAAAATGCAAACAACATTAAATCTCCTAACTATACAAATGGTATGGATATGAATAGAAAATTTTAGAATATTATTTTTTATGTGGCACAAAGAAGATAATCTTTTAAATGTCAATATGGCAAGCATGCCCCTACGGCCTACCGCATTACCCCCATTCCCTTAAAAAACTATTATTATTTATAATTGAATTTTAGGTTTAAATATATTATAAATTACATTATAATTAAGTTTTATAGGCCTAAGCATTTTTTTAAAGTTCTTGTTTAGTGTTTAGATCTAGAACTAGTTTATGTATTTATGATTATTATCATAGATCTTTGAGACCTTGACATTTTCTTCCTATTTTTCTTTAACTGAAGATCTATTTTCAAAATGGCAGACATGACTACGTCGTATACAATGAAAGGGGATTCAGTTGCTCTTGATTTAAGTGCCGCTCAGTCGTCGATGTATAATTCACACCCTTATGAACAACAACTTGAAAGCCCACAGAAATATATGCCATCTAGAGATGAATTCCAATTTGTTCCACAAACTGCTGAAGGAGGTAAGAAGCCCGAGGGTTCAGGGCAGTTCAGGCCGAATCTTGGTCTTGTATTTTAAAAAGTATTTTTATTTTCGAAGTGTCTACTCGGAAGAAGATTTTTCTCCCCAACGTCTCCATTTAGTCGGCAAAAGATAGTTCTGCGCATGCGCAGTGACCTATGGCTAGGGTTAAGGCTAAAATGAGGGTTAGGATTAGGGCAGGGGTCGGCAACCTGCGGCTCGCGAGCCGCATGCGGCTCTTTTGATATCAAGATGCGGCTCTCCAGCTCTTTACACAAATAATAGTAATCTTAATAAAAAAATAAAATATTTGAAATAAAACAATGTTAGTGGCTCTTTAAAACCAAGGAAATTTTGAAAATTGTAACTTTTGGCTCTTCCGCTTCAAAGGGTTGCCGACCCCTGGGCTAGGGTTAGGGATAGGATTAGGGATAGGGTTAAGGATAGGATTAGGGTTGGTGTTAGGGTTCTGCGGTTGTAAACACACGCATGCGCAGTACCATCGAAAACATTGCCGCTGAGGCAAGTCGTAGTTTCTCTCCATTGCGCATGCGTATCGCATGCGTATCTTATTCCGACTAGAATCTGCCTTTTATTTTAGGCCTAGATCTCTAGATCTAGATCTAGATTTTATTTTAGGGAAAATAAAATGAGGTCTCACAAAATTTTATATTTACCAGGTCTAGATCTTATATTTATTATAGCTTGAGGTCCAACAACAGAGCCTTTTTTTTTCTAACACTGGTGTTGGAACAACTTCATCAACTTGGCATTCTACTCCGAATCTACGCCATTGGGTGTTGCCAGTGTTGGGAAATTGCGAGACACGAAAAGTGAAATGGCGAGGCGGTGAATTGAGAGAAGGCTGCGAAAACAGTCGGTCACATGATATTTTTGCTTAGCCTTTTACCACCACCCAATACTAAAGCAGGGTGGTGGTAGGATGCGAGGTTATCAGCAAAAATTTTACCGCGACCGATTTACAGCAATATTTGATGCAGACTTCAAAGACTTTTCGTTTACATTGTTAAAACCCGCTTTTTCAGTCGTTAGACATTCTGATGATTCGTTAACTTAAATAACTTTCTTTGTTTGTACTTAGAATACTACTGTGTTCGAAACCGCCCGAAATACCGCAGACATTAGATCAACTTATTTCTTATGTGTGGAACATCGAGACCGCTTGCCGCCGCAAGGCCACAAACATTTATTGTATTGTTGCAAAGAAATTTTGTTTTATTACGTAGCAGAACGAACCCCAGATGTAGCCTCAACCAACTGGCGGGTTTGTTGCATTGAGTTAAATATAAACTCAAACAATAATATATTTGATAGGTCAGGCCACATAGTGTTGTGTGTTATGCCGTAATACATTCAAACTAATAAACTAAATAAATAAACTATCTCCCTTTATTTTCTTTAGCAATAATTGAAATAACTAATTAATTAAGTAATGAAATTACACATTTCCTGTATAATTTATTAATATTATTACAGAAACAGCTGTGTTGTTTCAATACCACCCGATCTGTTTCTTGAATCAAACGTTACACTATATACTTACTGAAACCGAGCAAAAAATAATTCACCGAGGTATTGACCTTGAATTATATTATGGCATGCAGGTTTACTTTTTTCCCCTAGAAAAAACAAGGCAGTATGATATAAAGGTTGCACTTATTAAGTCATGATGTAGATTTAATGAGTAAAAGTGGGACGTTGCGAAATGTATACCGACCCTCAAACGGCTTTTTTTTTTTTCCAGAATGTTTAGAATTTAGAATATCTAGATATAGATTTTTACAAATTATAGTCTAAAATGATATTCTCCTTATGAACTCCCACTGAGAGTCTATAAAGGCGGGATTTTTCTCCCGCTGACAAAACGAGCGCGGCGGTCAGAGGATGTTAAGATTGTTTAATATAAAATCGAATTAGATAATAAATAAAAATAACACACAAATTTCATGATATATCATCTGCTTTAGTTTATAACTATAAAAAACAACTACATGAAACAAAATTTGTTTTCGCAAATTGTGTCTCGCTATTTACCCTTGCTTCTGCAGGTATGTCTCACATTTTCTTCTTGCAGTTTACCACCTCGCCATTTCACTTTTCACATCTCGCGATTTCCCAACACCCTACGCCATTCTAGTCTACAGTTATTTTCTATCCAGTAACTTAATTTATGGGGTGGGTGGGTTCCTAGGCTTAGGATAAATAAAAACTGCCAATCTTGCAGAATCTCTTTATTATTTCAATGTGAGAATGCACATAACAGGGTTCCCGCGGCCTCCTGAAATTCCTGGAATTCTCCTGGAATTTCAAAAAACCAGAAAAGTCCTGGAATTCTCCTGGAATTTTAACATTTCTCCTGAAATTTTGTAATATGTCCTGGAATTTTACTCGCATCGATAATTTTAGCGAATATTTTTTTCGCGCTTAGATTTCTAGGTAATCAGACCTGACCGCCCCAGTAAAAATGTTTTGCCTTTTCAATTCTTCGCGTTACAAGGCACACATTTTAAAATATAGACCTAAAGCTGTCTTTAACATGTGGGTTTGGTTTAATTTTTTTTCTCACGTCTTTCTATGTGTGCGGCTCTGTTTAATAGTCCGGACTTTTTTTTTTAATTGGAAATTTCAAGTAGGCCTAGGCCAAAATCTAGTTTTTGCGCAGCTAATTTGAATCTACAGTCCGATAAGCTCTAGATCTACTTTCTATTTTTACATGCGTGTTGTAATACTACCACCCTCCCATCCCGCATTTCAGTTTCTTTCCCACGACAGGGTGGGGGAGGGGGACCGCTGGTTGGGTATATGAAGTATACTCTGTGTGACCCGCTAGTGATGTCATCAGCAGTATACTACAGGCCAACTGTAAGCTCAGATGAACTCAGACTGACCCCGCGCGACCGTGTCTAGCTGGAGGAAAACTAATACGCTACCGGCAATAAAAAAAACTATCTGAAATTCTATTTTTGGCTGAAATATTTTAAATTTTTCAAGTATTAGGGGTCGTCCATAAATGACGTCACACTCGTAAGAGGGAGGGGGGTCCGTAATTTTGTGACGGTGTGTGATGAGGGGGGGGGGGTTCAGATCACACTCCTAAGAGGGAGGGGGGTCCGTAATTTTGTGACGGTGTGTGATGAGGGGGGGGGGTTCAGATGGTGGGACGTCACACTTTTGCATCATAAAAAGCAATGTTAGAAAACGAATTTTAGCCGTTATTTCGCATTTTAGAAAACTATTAATAAATTGCAATAGAAATTTATCAAAATACTCTGTTGACGGCTTTCTGAAAAGATTTTGGAAAAATATGGATGTTTTAAGAAAAAATCATCAATTTTGAGAGGGTTTCAGGGTCCGTAGCGGACCTTGAATCCTTGAAAAACCCTTGAATTCCAAAAAACATCTCAAGGCCTTGAAAAACCCTTGAATTTCCCCAAAAATGAGCAAAAACCCTTGAATTTTATAGGTAAAGCTTGAAAACCGTGCGTAAATCGAATTTTAAAAAAAATTCAATTCTGATGGATCTAAACTTTTTCTGCCTTTATTTATTTTTTGCCGTGGGTCTGCGTTAACTTCGGAGTCTATTTCCAACCCTCTCCTTCGCTGAGCCTCGCGGTTTTGCATAGGCTCTGCCTAACCTAGATTCTAGATCGTGACGTAGACTGTCGTAGATAGCCGAGGGCTAAATTTAGCATCGTTTTTCGGGTATCTCCGTTTACTAGATTCTAGATCTAGATTCAGTGTTTTCTGTTAGGGTCTACCTACATGTACGGTTTTGTCCGTAATTTTTCGATTTTGACACCCCTGTTGCGGAATTAGGCCGCAAATGTTACGCAAAAGCCCACCGTAAACATCAAAATCGATTTAGTGTCGACCTTTTTTTTTTCTTGTGTTAAATTTCCGTGTTATCCGGTTCTATGGTTTCAAACATCTTCAATCATAACAATCGACGCCCCCCGCCCCCCAAATCCCTTCCCGACAATATCTCGGCAGTCGTTGGCTCTATTTATATTGTGAACTTTATTGACCCCGCGAGTGGTCTGTTGTCTCCTGATCGGTGATGTCCGTAAAGAAAAAAAATTGAATGTGGCCTAAATCATTAAAATTCTGGTCGCGCATGGAAATTATCTCGATTATAATTAAACCTACATCTAGAACTAATATTTTTTCTTCAAGAAAATAAGCCTTAGGTTTAAATAAAAAAAAGAATAGCCTGAACTATGCGAGCGTAGGTTTCTATTTATTTAAATTAAAATTTTCTCGGTGTGGGTTAAACACAAAAGGGCGAAACGTAGCTGCGGAATTACGGGTAAATAGCGAGACATAATTTATCGAATTATTGTGTTCTGTTATTTTAGATGTGCGAGAAGACACGTTTTTACGAACCTAGATCAATCACGGTTCTTTGTGTACCCCACGATAGCAGATGTTTCGGTCACTGCGACCTTAGAAGGTCTTCTAGGTCTATCTCAACTTACAGTGACCACGCAGTATATTAATAATTAATATAGTCGTGGATCTTGATCTAGATTTTTAACTATTAACCAACAAGATTTACTAATACCAATAGGCATATTTATCACGTTCGTTAAAAAAACCAATAGCAAATGACGTAATCGTCAATCTCACATGGGCTATGGACCAAATACACATTGACTGTATCAGATGGGTGAGGCTGTAGACAGAACTTTTTGATGTCATTCTTGACGTGGCTGTCTGGTTATTTATGACGAAAGAGGTTGGGGTAAAATTCGCATTAATTACGTGACGTCATCAATGGACTACCGCTAGGCTGTGTAATTAAAAAAAAAACTAAATCCTAACATTACCAGCTCATTAGCATCGCCGATTGTCTTCTTAAAAAAATGAAAGATTTTGCGCCGACGTAAAAAAAAAAATTGTATTTATCAAAAGAAAAGAAAAATAATTTGAAGGACTATGACTGTGCTGTTTTCACTCAACTTTACGGGCACTTTTTACCACCTCTCACTTCAAGGTCGCGCTGACCGTAAGACCTACGACACGAGACCACGCGCGAGCACAGTAGTGTCTCACGGTCAAGGCAGTTCTACAAACGCTGTTTATCTAATTTTAACGTGGTTATCTTTAATATTGGGCTTACTGCTAGATTAAAGCGAAAACAAAAACTAGATCCGCATCGTTTTAGGTCATTGAACAAAATATGTAGGTCTGCTGTAATTTAGTTACACCATCTAGCAGGATCTAGATCTAATTGATTTTTACTGTGGTAAAACGTCCTTGGAATGTTTAAGAAGCCTCGAATTACCGTGTTTGAGAAAATTGCCGCTGTCACTGCCCCCTCCCATCCGCTTGTAAAAAAATAATCCGCTTTTCACTTTGTCGGGCGGCTACATCTCTGACATGAGTATTACTAGCGTAGTTACTTGTGAAATTGTTTTAAAAAAATAACTTAATTCTGTTATTCCGCGATATGAACTAACTTAAAACTTACACGATATTTCTTTACGTCATCATGTATATCATAGGTGGGGACATTGGGGTCGTCCATAAATGACGTCACACTCGTAGGGGGAGGGGGGGATCCGTAATCGTGTGACGGTGTGTGATGAGGGGATGGGGGGGGGGGTGGTCAGATCGTGGGACATCACACTTTTGTATTATTAAAAAGCAATGTTAGAAAACGAATTTTAGCATTTTAGAAAACTGTTTTAATAAATTGTAAAAGGAATTGATTAAAATACTCTATTTTGACAGAGTTCAGACAAGATTTTGGGGAAAAAAAACCTATTTTAAGAAAAATTGAACTGCAATCAAGGGGGGGGGGGGGGTGTAGGAGGGGTTATAGGCTGAAGTGTGACGTCATTTTAGAGGGCGGGGCCTGGCTTTTTGTGATGTGTGACGGAGGGGGGGGGAGAGGTAATAATCTTTTAAAAAGCGTGAGGTTATTTATGACATTAAGCAGGATAATTTCTACAAGGATAGGTGGGTTTTTTTTTTGTTTCTATATGTGTGCAGAGTCCTTTTTAAAGGAATATGTGTGCAGAGTCCTTTTTAAAGGACTATCAAACAGACGAACCAATGCTTCCTTTTATGTATAATGACCTGATTCTGATTATCACTTGACATTGACAAGTCATTCAATTGAAGTTGGGTTTGTTGCTGACTCTCTAATAAAGTCTCTAGAAAAAGTAAAAAAAGCAAGTGAGCTTCAAATTCTCAATTTCAAATCTGATTGTAAGACAACTTTTATAGGATTTTCATCAAATTTTTTGTTGAAATCTCCATTACTTTAGTCATTAGTGAGAGACTTAGCCTAATGCAAATGTTTAAAAATAGAGCCAGTTCACCAAAAAAATGAAGGGAATTCTTCACATCCTAGTCAACAAATGGAAACTGAAATCAGCTGAGTGTAACCAAGTTCTGTTTCAATTTTCAACATTCATAGATACATGTACTCTAAATGGTTGTCTATCTAAATCTTATTGAGAACATGATAGGCTGGACATTTTTTTCATAGAACAGCTTGGTAGCAAAATTTCTTATGTGAACATTTGGAAAATTGTTAGAGATCTATTGCTTCTGTCACATGGTCAAGCCAGTGTTGAAAGAGGTTTTTCTGAAAATAGAAGTTGGAGGAGTGTCATTTGACACCAAAGATACTGATTGCAAAAGGGATTATGCTGGACTCTCAGACAATCTCCTGACTTAGATAATTTTGTAATAACACCAACATTATTTCAAAAATTGTGTGTGCAAAAAACATATATCACCCTCATTGTAATGCCCGTTAGTGGTAGTTTATACCTTGAAATTCCCCCCAAAATCACCTTGAAAACCTTGAAAAAGCCTTGAATTTTCTTTTGGGATTTGGCTATGGACCCTGGGGGGGGTCTGGCTTTTTGTGACGACGTGTGCGGGGGGGGGGGGGGTAAAAATCGTCAAAGACCCCTTGCCCTTATTTCCAAAATACATTTTATTTTTAGTAGGACAAATCTAAGCTACTCAGGTTGATCTACTTGTTCATCAAATGATAAAAAGTTAAAATTACAGTTAGGCTATTTACTGTTGAAGACTCCCATTTAAATCACAATGCCATGTCCATTTTTAAAAGACATGGTTTCAGCTGTTCTGTTTGTTTATAATTGACATTGTTAGTACGGATGATGACATTGGTGAGGGGTTGAGGGTGGGAAATTTATTAGATGAATTTGTGACAACAGGCCTTAGAACTGGTGCTGGGGAGGGGGTATATAAACGGGCTTAATTTATGGACAGTGAGTAGTTAAAGAAAAGTGTCACATTTATATATTTAAGTACAAAGATAAACATTGTTACAGGATAGTGACTGGTAAAAAGTGCCATCACATTTTCCAAAGGGGGGGGGGGGGGGAGAGAAAGAAGAGATAGCAATTTTATAAATAATTTATAAATGGGAGGGGTGGGGTGCAAAATTGAATCTACTTTGACTAAACTAAATGGTTTAGAAACAGTTACTTTTAAAAATTACAAATGCTATGCTACATAGCATTTTATAAAGACCACTTCCTATTTAAGAAATGTCAAACTCCCTTCCATTCAGCGCGGGATTGAGTCGTTGTTGCTTTTTAATAGGTTAAATTATGTCCTGGAATTTTGGTTTTTCTCCTGGAAAACTCCTGGAATTCTCCTGGAATTTCAAGTTCACTTTGGTGTAGGAACCCTGACATAAAAGGATGGTCGCCTGTCATATGTTAGAAAATATATTTTTTTGGGGATTTTCCTTGAGAAATAGGGCCTTCAGGTTTTTCCTGTCAGATATACATCAGTCTCTGCATCAAAATGAAATTGAAAGCTGGCTCAATCATCCATGCTATGGTCTCCACCTCAAGGCTTACCAATAAAACAGTTATTTACCTGAGAAGTTTTTGAAGAAATTTTGAAAATGTAGAATACCAGTTTGCAGAAAAGGCCCCCATATTCCTGACACAAATTGATCAATCATCTATTTCTTTATAGTGTCACATTAAAATAATTATTACATTTAGCAAAACCAGTGATTTTTGCATTGATCCCTTAACCATTAATGTCCCATTCATTCTACCAAAACTCCACCCATGATGGCCCAATGTAAGGAGCATAACTCTGTATGATCAAGTGAATAGTTTCATAAAATATTTGTTTTTGTCTAAATGAAATTGAAAATTAAGATAAAAACTACTGCTTAATGTTGGGAATAAACCTGGCTTTCCAACAGTATTAAATAGAATATATTATATTCGGTAAAAGTACAGTATAAAAATAAAAAATGTCGGAGAAAATTCAAAACAGGTCATTTTCGGTAGTCAACTTTATTTATTTTTGTCTTAACAACTATGCATCGAATTTAACAGTTAAATATCAATTTGGTTATGTTTAACATATATAATTCATAAAATACATGCCTAGATACGTTTAGAGGCATTAATTTTTTTTATTTTTAATATTAAATCTACTAAAAATACGACAGATGAGTCGAAAATTTCGAGATAGAAAGAAACTATTATTTTTTATCTTTCAAAAGCGCCATTGAAATTAGAAGACCGGAAAAGGATGCTGAAACCATCCGACTTCCTGTTTAGTTAAAAATTAGGATTTGTAGGCCAAATTTTAATGAAACAAATTTAATTTTTCTATGCGTATTGTAAGCGGGCGGCAGCGGGCGTTACGGGACATTAACGGTGTCGGGCGGCAGCGGGCGTTACGGGACATTAATGGTTAAGGAGCCCTTGAGACAAAGCCAAAGTTAAGAAATGTCCAGCAGTGTTTTAGTCAGGTCATTTCCACCTTCAATTTTGGTGTTTTATCAATTTGCAATGGATATACTTTGCAATTGAATAGGTTTATACCAACTTTATTTAAATACAAATTTAGTGAGACTAGCTACTAAATTTATAGCAACATTAATAAATAATTTATGTTATTTGAGTTTATAAACTTAAAGTAATGTATGGTATTGCTAATTATAGCAGGAAATTTGCTTTTTCATCTAAAGAAAAACAACCTTTTTTGGACTACATTGTTCCTAAAACTTCTAAAAAAATTGATACTGTGCAGTTTGAAATCGAGCAATCAAACTTGCTGAATTGGCAGTCCATTAGTTTTACTAGAGATGGCCATAGTTATACCTGGGTTAACATTGATACCTTATGGATCTAGTCTATTCTTTCTGTATTTGCCAAAAGAAATACATTTGCTTAGCCTTATCTAAGTTATATATAAATTAATTTGTCATTTTTTTTCTGCATTTGCCAAAAGTAATGAGTTAGCTTAGCCCTATCTAAGCTTCAAATAATGTAGTATGTTAGTAAAAATTTAAACTGCAATCACTTTGTAATGATTAATTTGCATATCTTCCATAGGACATTCAAACATTGAAGGCACTATAGATTCAAAGGCAGCTCCAAGTAGTGGTGATGCCTATGGCGTTAGGAAAAGAGGAGTAACTTCTTCTATTCTGGAATCTAAGGGTTTCGGCTGGTTACTGGAAGATGAAGATCCAGAAGAGGAAGATCAAAGGCCACTTTTGTTAGTATTTGTATTTGTCATGTTTTACTTTTAACTATTGTTTTTATATTTACATTTAAAAAATTTAAAATAATCTTGTGGTTGAAAAAATATCTCAAGATCAGCTAAATAAATTTTCTTTTTGTTTTTGTTGGTACTAGCCCAAACGTAACCGTCGATGTGTTAGGTGACACTGCTGTCCGGGCAGTAAAACACATTTCAGTTAAGATTGTATTATTAATAATATACCAACCTTTTTCCTATAATAATTTTTTCTCTTTTTATTCAGGGAAGAGCTAGACATTGATTTGAAAGACATTTACTACAAGGTTCGATGTGTCTTGTTTCCCCTTCCTCAGTTGGGATTTAATCGTCATATTGTCAGAGAAAGCCCTGATTTTTGGGGCCCACTGTTTGTGATCCTTCTGTATGCAATTATTTCCCTGTATGGTCAGTTCAGGGTGAGTGGGTTTTATTTGTATCTCAATTTGTTTTAAACATAAGTTAAAAAAACCCAGAGAATTGATAATTATTGGTATTTGCTAACCGTAAAATAGATTTTGATTATTTTTATACTGCATCAAACTGTGTGCAGTGATTGTGTTTTTAAATAAAGTTCTGCCAAACAGTGAAACACTGTTTTTAAGTTCTTTATTCCCGTTTGGATTATGCATAAACAATCATTTAGATATGCCCATGTTTTTAAGTTGGAGCAAAAATCTGGCAGGAAAGGTTCATGAGCCTATTTTGTTAACATTAGAATATTGGATATTTTGCATAGAATGTTAATCATGGTTATCATTATTTGTAGGTAGTCTCCTGGATCCTGACTATTTGGATTATTGGTTCTCTCATGGTGTTCCTGTTGGCACGTGTTCTTGGTGGAGAGGTAAGATTGCTGTTTATGATTTGTTTTATGTTTAAATAGTTTTTTTAGCAAGCTTTAGGTTGCTTTTCTTGTAGTCTTAGGGGTCGGCTTGGTCGAGTCAGTAAAGCTCATGGTTGCTAAACCTAAAAGTCTCGAGTTCGAACCCTCGGGCAGATGAGGCTCGTTAGCTGGGGACAGCCACTCTTCTAGGAGAGACAACTCCAAAATCAAACAACTGCTGCCTTGTAGTTTGTTCTTGGTTGGACAAAGGCTATGGAAGCAAATCCAAAAAGAAAAGCAGGCTGAAATCGGAGTCAATAGCCTCAATGGCGCATAACCAGTTGACACGTAATCCTTAATTGTGATGGAAGCATGGTCGAGTCGGCAAAAGCTCATGGTTGATAAATTCGAAAAAAGTCTCGAGTTCAAACCCTCTGGCAGATAAGGCTCGATCCCTCCCAAAAAAAAATTAAGAACGAAGAAGAAGCAGAAGTAGTCTTAGTTATTTACTGCATGTTAACTTACATCCTCTCGTAAACATCCTTTGTGATCTTATTGTACAGTTTTGTATATTTTGTGTAGTTAATTCAAGTTCTCGGAAATTAGTTTTTAACTTGAAGTTTAAATTCTAGATCTTGGTTCAAGTTATTGATATGATCTTTGTTGTTGTTGCAGGTGTCTTACTCACAATGTTTAGGAGTTATAGGATACTCAGTGCTGCCCCTGTTTGTGATTGCTTGCTTTTTGCCACTTTTACGCTCTTTTCATTACTTGGGCAGAGCTTTCAAGGTAAGAAATTATCACTTCAATATTTTTTATTGTAGCTAAACACTTAATAGTTGGGCATAGTGGTGACCACATTATTCCCTTGTGTGCCGCATTCATGAAAACAGATAAACTCTACTTCATCTACCCCATGTGTCTTGGGCACAACTGTGAAAAGATGATGATGAAATGCCTAACCCTGAGATTTAACTTTGGGATTAGTGCTTGAGTTTTCTACCACACCATCCAAAAACTTTCAAATGTCACTAGCTAATATCTTTTAAAAAAATTAAATTTTCTGTTAATTAACCACACCTTTCTACAACTATTCCAGCTGTTGGGTGTGTTTTGGGCGTCATACAGTGCTGGCTCATTGCTGTGTGTTCAAGAACTTCAGCATAAGAAACCTCTTCTGCTGTACCCCATATTTTTACTCTACATTTATTTCCTCTCATTGTACACTGGTGCCTAGATTTCTACATCATGTTTTACTGTCTGAGGCTTAGATTTTGGGAATTTTTAAAAATACTCCTCTATTAAAATGGAGCAATTTTATTTTGAGTTCAAGTATCAATATATCATATTTGTTAATATAACATTTAAATGAATGTGTTACATTTTAATACAATCTCCATTTAAAAAATATGTATAATTGGCTTCTATGTTCTATCCTATCTTAAAAAAATTACTTTAAACAATTAATTTCAAGCATTCACAATAGGGTGTTTTTTTTTTAAAAAAAGCAATTTTTTTAGTTTTGATCATATTATTTTTCACTGTTGCTAAACACTTTCAAAAAATAATGGTCCTAAATTAAAACTTAAGCAGAAGCTGCAGTTGAGATACAACTATGAATTAATTTGTAAAAAATTGACATTTATAATATGCTGTTTGAGTGTGTTTGATTGTATGGGAGATGCTATGTGTCTGTGTACATACAACAACAGCTTTACTGTGTGGATAATACCAGTGATCCAACACAATGGATACTTTTTGTATGTACCTGTTGCTTTTGTTTTATAACTATCTTTGCTACAACATGAGAAGGGGTTTTTGTTTACAGTATATGATCTGATTGTTGCTCTAAACTAAATTTATAGATTTATAAAAACTGTATTATACCGAGTACATATAAGTTGTTAGTTTCAATGTGTTGAAATAAAAAAAAATATATCAGACCTATTTTAGAAAGAAATAAAACCATTCTATTTTATCTTATTTAGCGTTTAATTTCAAATTGAAGGCTAGTTTTCAAAAATTTTAAAGTATATTTTTGTAGTTTTCAGATGATTTTTAATTAAGAATTTTTTTTACCTTCAGTTGAATGTAAGGAAAACTTAATGTTTTACTTAAGCCGTCAAGTTTTGGAAAGTGTGTTTTCAATGGCCCATAATAATTTTCTTTTTTGTTGAAATTAAGATTTAAACTTAAATAAAAATTTTGTTCATTTTGAATTTTTAAAAATCCATTGTGCCATTTTAGCTGATGAATTATGTTTGACAATTATTGCAAATATTTTACCACTGGGATTTGAGTGTATGGAAACCTATGCTTTTTTTTTAAGAATGCAACAATTAAAACATTTTTTTAAAAAGAAAACAAAAGTTTATTTGTACTAAGGCATAGTTTATTTCATGTCACATAATGTTTTATTAGTCCCTTCCTAGTGGTGCTATACCAACATGTGCCAGATACCAGTAGTAGGGTAAAGCAAAGCTTAACTGGCATTATGTTGGCTACCCAATCTTTTCACACTGTGATGAAATATAAAACCTGCCCTACTGGACAATGCAATTGTCATGAATTGTAGAAATAATATATCAGTCAAGTACTACAATTTTTATTTTTAAAAATAGAAATTTTAGTTTGACTCTTGAAACGTTTAAAACCCTGTTATAAAGTAAAAGTTGTTTTAACTGTTTAATTTTGTTTTTAAGTAAACAAACCTTACACAATATTCTCGTAACTAGTATGTGTCTGTTTATAAATCAAGTAACAGGCATGTTGAAATGTTTATATAACTGCCATAATTTAATATTCTGGCACTAATTATCAGAAACTAATTTTCATTTCTAGCATGCCTCTGGCTGAAGTAAGTTAAATGATTGGAAAGTCATTCTTACGATACTGTGGTGTTTTCAGAAATGCAATTTTGCATCAGTTTGTTATATTGTTTATTTTCAGAAATAAATGTGTCTATTTAAATAACATTGTAAATATGATGATATACATAATTTATGTTTTCTTATTGGGATTTTTAGCAATAAAACAATTGATAAAAAACAAAAGCCTGTCTTTGTTTCTATCAGATTAACCTACATGTGAGTGCATAGTGAGGGATTTAAAACAGGTTTTAGGTCAAGGGATAGTTAAATAGGAGAAAATCATTGACTTTGTGGCAAGGTGAGGTGAATTATTAATGTTGTATAGACGAATTACTTGATTAACGTTCGTTGGCGTAGGGGGGGGGGGGGTTAGGGGGTCATAACCCCCCCATAGACCCCTCGGTATATATATAAAGTATGAGGGGGTGTAAATCGAAAGTTTGAGGGGGGGGGTGCAAATCAAAAGTTTGAGGGGGGAGTGCAAATCAAAAGTTTGTCCCCGGGTAAAAATTTGAACCCCCCCCCCTATTAGACGATTCTGGTTACGCTACTGTTAACGTTAGTTATGTTAAATAACTATAGCTTTGTAAGTAATGCAGTATTGCAACTACGACGGACCTAGATGGTAAAAGTTTGCGTGATGCAATCATAGAGTTAACACTTAACAGCGATCTCCCTGCAAAATACAATATTCTTTAAGTGGGGCAGCGTAAACAAAATTACTCTGGTCACCCTTCCCTCCTCGTCGCCTTGCAGTGTTGGCCGGTGTTAGGTTACAAGTACAACATAGCTGCACGTCACCGTGCGATACAATCCTGTTGTCTCCCTTGTCAAGAGAGCAGACGAGATTTTTTTTACCAGGGGACGCGACTCTCGTCAACTCGCAACCATTGAAACAGAAGGCGTCACAATGCACAGTCTTGAGTTATTTTAAGGTAGGTGTTATAATTATGTCAACAGAAGTATGTTGTCTTTTTTTCTCTCTTGTTTTTTTTTAAATTAATTAATTCAACTAACAAAAACATAAATTATCTCTTTAAATGAATGTAAGATAAATTCTGTACTAAACCTAAACAATTTCAGTCAATAAATTAAATTGTGTTGAGTTGTAGTTATTTAATGCAGTAAAATGTTAAAATTGATAAAGCTTATCATTTAAGAGTGGTTATCGATCTAGTGCTTACATACACTAAGTTTTTGTTTAAATGTTAACATTTTGGTAACCTTTGGTACTTAAAATACGTAGTTTTGGTGGGATTAGCTATGTTGGATAATTGGATTAGGGGGTCGTCCATAAGCAACATAACACTCCAAGGGTGAAGGGTTGGGGGTCGGAATTTTATAGCTGAATTGTGACGTCATTTTATGGGTGCGGGGATAGGGTCTGACTTGGGGGGGGGGGAGGTAAGTAGTTATAAAAGCATAACGTCTTTATGGATGACCCACCTTGACTAGATCATGTTAACATTCTTACTATAATGTATAAGCTAACCCTGATTTGACTATTCACTATCTCGCTTTAACTGGTTATGCCGAATATTTCAATTACAATTCAAATCACACATTCTGTAAAAATGAATTACCGGTCTGACGAGAGTATACCTGTGACACCAAACAAACACGTGAATTTACAAACAGGTAAGAAAGCAGTCGGTACATCAAATACCAGGGGCACCCAGTCATCATGTAAAAACTAGCACACCAACTTGACGAATGACACAAAACTCGAGTTGTATATCTTGGTACCCTACAGCGGTCATATAGGTGTCACTGTCAGGGGATAATTTTATGACATTTTTATGCTAGGCTATGACAGTATCCAGTCTATATGCTAGGCTATGACAGTATCCAGTCTATATGTTAGGCTATGAGGGTATCCAGTCTACGTGCTAGGCTATGACAGTATCCAGACTATATGCTAGGCTATGAGAGTATTTTTTTTAAATTGCATTTAATAATGGATTATATTACCCAGCGTTTACCGAGCTCTGCTCTTATTTTAGAAAGAAATGGCTTTTTAAAAATCCTAAGCTGACCAACCCACGTTAAAGATTTGTTTCGAATATATTACTGATCTCGTTCAACATTTGATATACTGACCAGTGGCGTAGCCAGGGCGTGGCGGGGGGTGCGGACCGCACCGGGTGACACCATTTAGGGGGGGGGGGGGGTGACACCAAGGCGAAAAATTGCAAAATGCACAGACTATAGAAAAACATCGTTACTATTAAGTCTGCAGTGTACTCATATGTGGCATATATTTAAATAAATAATAGACTATATATACTAACACACACACACACACACACACACACACACACACACACACACACACATATATATATATATATATATATATATATATATATATATATATATATATATATATATATATATATATATATATATATATATATATATATATATATATATATATATATATATATATATATATATATATAATTTGTTTCTTGTGGCGCCCGGGTTTAACTGTTAATTTTGCGCCCCCCCCCACCCCCGTTTTTTACCTGTCACTGTCACCGTGTTTAAAATTTTTATTTAGTGTTACACAATCGATTTAGGAAATTAGGAAATCAGTCTGTTAACCCAAGTAGTAGTCTTAAAATAATACATTTCAAAACTAGGCTTTTATTTATTTTTTTACCCCGTTTGGCGCCCCTCTAAATTTGGCGCCCGAGGCGGCCGGCCCACCCGCCCTCCCCTAGCCACGCCACTGACGACCCCTTAATAGAATAATAGATTATAACTCTTTAGTAAGCGAGCGATAAAGTAAACAGAAGAGGTCATGGATTTGACGACATTAATAAAAATTGATCAGTATTTTAAATGTTGAACCAGCTCACCAAATATTTTAGATAAAAATCTAAACAAAACTGATATTTAAAAAAAAATTCAATATAGGCTACTTATACTTTGACGTTTAAAACACTACTACTTATTTTTAAGAATACATTATAGATTTTCTCCCTGTATTGTTATATTTCAGTTAAATAATAAACACGAGCCGACCAGCGGCGTAGCATACGCCGCTATTTTGTTTTATTTTCTACTTTTTTTCTACTTTTCATTAATTCATAATTAGTTAATTCGACAATAAGTAGTGGTGTCCACGTAGAGAATTGTAGATATAAATAGATTACCAAAAAACGTTAAATCAGTATGCCAGATAAAACAATGTATTAATGCATGCTGTTAAAATTGTGAATCGTGAGTACGTTTTAGGAGGTCAGCTAAATTTTTGACGACGTGGACATCGGGATGGACACTTGTGGCATACGGGAGGCGTTGCGAAGGCGGGAGGGGGGAGGTGCCTACAATTCAATTTTTTTTGTGTAGATCGTGAAAGGGTGACCCCCTACACGAGTTGCTTATTTCTTCTACCGTTGACTGAAATAAGCACTACCCCCTTTATGAAAGATGTAGGCTACTGATTCAGTTGCAAATATTTCTTTCTCCAGCTGTTTCCATACTGGTAAACATTAGTATTTCGAGAAGCACGAAAACTTAAAAAAATATAAATACTACCCAATAGGTCTATAAAAGTAGACTAAATATAGGCCTTTATGTGTGTAATTGTAGTATTGAATTTATCAATACAGCAGCGTATTACATTATAGTTTAACCAGTATAGACCAGGGGTCGGCAACCTGAGGCTCGCGAGCCGCATGTGGCTCTTTTGATATCAAGATGCGGCTCTCCAGCTCCTTGAACAAATACTAATA